GTGAGATGCGCGGCAAATCAATGTAGGAATCCCTATAAGTACGGGTCATTGCCAACAGCTTTATTCTATTTATTTTGATTCATCTTTATAACTGTAGTTATAAACTGAAAAGCCGCTTGTAGTTATAAACTGGATACAAGGAAATGTTGTAACCTTGCACACGACGCACAAGAACGCTTCCTTGTCACCTTCAGATAAAGCTGTACATTTACCTCTGATAGTGAGGACTCTCCTATGTGGAGGAATGAATGGATCAGCAGCTACAGTAGCGTGCCATTTCTCTGCTCAAAAGTGCTCGTGAATGGAGCTGGAGGGTGGCGATGCCCGCGAGCCGTCTAAATACTGCGCTCTACTATCCTCAATGTGCAGCGCTTAATCGACACCAGGGTTTCGCAGTGAAAACGTACTTAAAGGCAGAAAACAGTCAGGAGTGTGAGGGAGCAGACAGGTGGCGCGCTTGGCTACGTTTGAGCCCTACAGTGTCCTCCACACTAATTCCCGTGTACTTGTAGAAAGTGGCACTTTACTGCAGCTGCCAACTCATTCACCTCACACATGACAAGGACCAAGGATCCACGGGGGGGTGGGTGTACAATTTCTCACCACCATCGCTGTTTTTCAACATTTTTGCCACAGAAATTATGTAAAAATCTTTCTCGCCGTGATTCATGTTCGAAGTGGTGATAATGTAAAATACAGATTTATTTATTTATTCAGTGGTGTGATGTCAAATACGAACTTATTTATATAGAATCAACCGCTTACACCATAATTACATCACGTTACAGTAACAAAACCCGAGGTGGGTCTCACTAACGAACAACGGAAATGGTGAGATGATACAGAAATATCAACATAAGAGGTGCAACCAAGAACAATTAAGAGCGGTCTCTTCGATCACGATCGCCGACTCGCAGTTCACGTAACCGAACTTCAGGAGACCGTTCTCGGTCCTTACGCTTACTACTGCTCTTGTTCTTTCTCTCCCTTTCCCTCGAAGGGCTACGACTCGAAGAAAGAGCCCTTACGTCGTTCTCTACGCGACTTTCCATCATCTCTGGCTCTTGTGGGAGGTGTATTTTCATTTCTCTTGTCATCCTCCTTATATCTCGATGAGCGAGGGCTTCTGCCCCGCCGCACCTCACCGGTTCGCTCATTACGCGATCTATCGGTGTCCTTTGTTGCTGTAGAAGACGCGCGATCACTTCGATGCTTCTCATCTTTTCTGGGCGGTGACTTGTCATCCCTTCTCCTTCTGGAAGTTGACCTTGACCTCCGTTTGTCGTTCTCCTTTCTCCTAGCATTTCTACTGTCCAAATCCATACGCTCCTCTTCGCGCCCATTCCTCCTGTCATCTTTCGGCGACAACGGTTCTTCCTTGATTTGCTTGCTGGCTCTGAATTATTCTCAATACACATGACGGGCCATAAATTCAACTAATATGAGTTTTACCCTTTGGGTTCCTTTGTTTCTTTGAGGCGACGTTTGACACTGTCTTTCGCATCTTTTGACTTCTTTGCGTTATCCGAATCATCCGAAGAAGACGACGATGACGAGGATGAGTCTGCAACCAAACACTTTTACTATTTGCGCATGAATATCGTAGTGTTTGTTGTATCTATATTATTGCGGAATAGTTTTGGCCAGGCAATAACGAGAACTTAACCGTACGGCAGTTAGGTGCGGTGAATGAGATTTGCCAGAAAAAAACCTGGACTTTTAAGTCAAATACGACATTCCTTAATAGCTTGATCATTGAATTCGTTCCGGTATCTACTGAAGGAGCTCCGCTGGCCTTTTATTTCTTTGCATCCCTTGATGGGTTAAAAAGAACGAAGAACCTGAATTCAGCAGGATTTCGACCATTTTTTCGGGGTTTTTTTTTTCGTCTTACCCTATTGGCTAGCTTTCTTTCCTAGATAGCTGCTAAAGCTGTGACGAAATGGTTTTATTATAAAATCGCCGAAATCCTGCTGGATGAGGCTCTCATATCCGTGATCCGTTTTAAAAGATGAAGACTCCAAAAAAAAATGGATTTCCAGTGTTGAGAGACTAGTAACAACCCAAGGTATATTATGCTGCAGTGATGCCACTTTTTGTCCGCTCCAACTCCTGAGCATCTACCCAGTAACTAGTATGTTTTTAAACAACAGCTCGAACATCGTGGAATGCGTAATTGAAGTTACATTTCAGGATTGCATTGTGAAAGGCGCCAGCAAACGACACCACTTGCGCGCACCTCACCAAGCTTTCTTTATCGTCACAGAAGGTCAGAAAAGAGAAGGGCGCATCAATGATGGTATTTTCTGGCTACACCCACCAGGCAATCATCACTTTCTTCAAAGTGCAGGCTTATCTATTATGTTAGATCCTACCTCTTATCGATATTGTTTGATCAACTCTTAATTCGCTGCGGACGGTGGGAGGCCAGGCAGTAATGAAGTCCCTGTTCGCACCCCTGGTCAAAGCCGTTCTCTGCCTTCTTGTTGAAGCGCGCATGCGACAAAAAGTGGTAGAAAACGAGTAATACGAACGATATGATACAGTCATATCACTTGCTCGCTTTACCAACTGGTGGCGAACAGGTTTGGCACCGCGCCGAATTCATCCCGCCTGACACGCCCAACCGTTCGCAGCGAACTACACTATGGATATGCTTACACATTACTGGCAATCTACTGTAGTCTCACTAACAAACTCGCTTCTAATGGGCAACACACCTGAGTCATCATCATCGTCGCTGTCGCTATCACTGTCGCTGGAATCATCCGATGAATCTGATGAAGATGACGACGATGACGACTCATCAACAGATTCTTCTTTCTTTTTCTTCATACCCTTCTCGAGAAACTGCCGGAGATCAAGCCTACAATAAAAGAGAGATCGAGCCTACAGTAAAAAGAGTCCCACTAGATGTGCAGAAAAACGGTCGCGGGGACCGCAACGACAATAAGGCATCCAAGCAAGTAAGTATCCCTTGCTCCTTAAAACCTCTTGCTGAGTCATATCTTGATGACACGTTACGTTAATTCACCCAAGCAGTCGAGCCGTGGAAGCAGTCTGACTGGCGAAGCGCGTGTTTTGTGGATTATCACGTGGAAACAAACCAGCGAAGGCTTGTTGCAACGTTCTAAAAACGTAGTGATACAAATAAAGAGCAACGAGCGCCGAACATGTAAAACTCACGGATCAGTGACTCGCTCGTACAGCTTCGTCAGTCCCATTGATTCACACAATTCTTGAAAGACATATTTCAGGTAGATGCGACCAGAAGAGGTAGTATCGTTTTCAGTCAACTTGACATCAGAGAAAATCTGCAATTAGACCTATTAGGAACAGCGAACGGGAATGAAATAAGACCTATGAGGAACAGCGAATGAAAGCAATAAAGTGCTCAAGCAACTGACGAAAATTTCCTGAGGAACGTCACATGTCCGCATTAGAATAGGTGCTATGAAGGAACGTCCAGAACCCTAACACCTGGCATACTTCAGCACTTCCTGATTTTCAATTACATTTCAATTTTCCTTTTCATTCTCCTAGATGAGCCAAGAACCCTGGACCTGACCTGTTCACTGCATTTACTGAAACTACTGTAAGCGCAAGCTGCCAGTGGCGCCTCTGAAGCCATCGATATCGGCACTCTCAAAACTGCGATTGGAAGCCCAGTCGCACACACGACCAAAGCGGAGCGAAGCGTAAGCACACAATCGCTGGCTTCTTACAATAACCTAACTGTCGACTTCAGGGACTCATTGGAGACAATTCAGGAAACATCCTTTAGTTTCACACTGCTGTTGCTTACAGGGGTTCCTAGTCCACACATGGATGAACTTCCAATAATAGCACTTACCGTCCATGAAATGGCATCAGTAAAAAGAAGATGAGAGATGAGACGCGCCATGTTTCTTAACTTGGTTATATCGAATCTGTGTATTGTCGCGTACGTATCACAAGCAATTTTTTCGAACGTCATCTGAATAAACTGATAATTTGGAAGGAAAAACGTATCATCTGCACTGACAAAAGCCATGAATTATTCCTAAGACGATACCTGATATTCTGCAAGCCGGCAGATATCTTTCACAAAGAAGACCATAGAAGCGCTCATATGTTCTCTGCTGACAGCAGCAATCCACAAGCATATGGCACAGTTCTGGCTAAAACTAATCAATCTGCGAATGCAAAAATACAAATTAAATAAATACATATTCGAAAGCCAAGGATAAACAGCAGCAGGAATCACTTACCTCCATCTCTTTGGCAACATGCATCTTCAAAAGTTTATGAGCGGCTTCTTGGAAATCAAGCGATGACTGTATAGTGAGATAGACTTCGCGACGAAACGCGACAAGGTTCTGTTCGGTATTGTCGATGATTTCGGTCGTACCAGTTGTAGACGCAGGAGCACTGCAACATCATAAGTTAAGCAGGGGAGCAAAAGCTTCTCTGAAAATTGGAGAAAGCTGAAAAGAAAGCTAATTCTTCGGCAACGTAGGTTGTGAAACCAGAAATTCTTCGGAGCCAAGCAAGATGTAAAGTGCCCTCACGCGTTTGATTCTGAACGCTAAAATACAGAACAGTGGCTGAGAAAGAAATAGCAGAGGGTTTCCGCCATTAGAGGGCTTCTGTCAAACTGATGTTCTCACACTGCGAGGGTCCAGAGCTATTTCCTGATCGCACATTGTGGCTAAGCACTCAAAGGGATAAAAATAAGGTAGAGGAATGATAGAAGGAAGGAAAGGAAAGAAGGAAGGAGGAAGCAGAAAGGGAGAAGAGGAAGTTTTCGCGGTTGACAGATATCCTGAGACGGAGAAAGGGGGTGGAACGTGGGCTACAACTCAAACGAAGAAACGAACCGCTCAAGTTTTCGCGCTTTTCACTAGCAGTTTACTGATTTGGAAAATACGAGAGTAATGCGACGTCTCTTTGTTACAGAGCTGAGCTATTAGTTACCTACAGACTGCTTTTCACTTGTACTATCGACATTTCACCGAATGGCAGAAAGAAAACTTCAAAGGTTATTAATAAGCACAAACCTGGTTGACCGTCTCCTTCGTCACCGCTGCCAATGCCGTCATCTTCGCTCTCTTCGTCGCTGTCTTCGTCATCGCCAATGATTTCAGCACGAATTTCGTCGTACTGCTGCTCGTTCTTCTCAAATTCAGGGTCGAGCTTGAAAACATCTGAACAAGAACGGAGTCACCCTTTGAAGTTAAACACAGGCCTGGGAAAGGCTGCTCCTAGGAGCCTGAATATTTTTGAAGACTAGTTGTCTTTCCAGTTGCAACGACACCTTGTGGACTAAAACTTACTCAGCTCGTTTTCAGGATTTATAGCATCCTCGAGAGAAATTGTGTGAGTTATTTGATCTTCCTCATCGATGAGATCCAATTCATCGAGAACTGCAGGATACGCCTGAAAACAGCATACTTCGGGACTGCACCGCAGAAAGCAGGAAACTTACAATCGAAACACTAACTAGCGAACTTACTTTGAACTTATCTTTACGAATTGTCAAAACGACTTCAATCATATATTGCACGCGTTTGTCAAGGTTCATAGAGTCACCATCCTGTACGATTCCACGAAGACGCGTGAATATTGTGTCCAGAGCTCTTGGAGAGACCTGAAAGCAAACGAATTGGTATCGAACTGACAGATAATCCTTGTAAAAATACCTCTAGAAGCTTCGAACCACACTCTTTGATGAAGGCAATCGATACTTCCACAGAATCATCAGTAGGTGTTTCCATCATCAAAATCATAATTTCCAAAGCGAGAACTTCATGTGCCTAAATGTCACACTTGACATTGAATATAGAAACAAAATCTGAGCAAGAGGAAGGGGAAAAGATGGCTCGCTATTTGGCTCCCGGTAGGGGCGGTTCCTTCTTCTTAGTCTTCAGCTTTTGGATCTCAGATCCATTTTGGTGAGACTTGTGTATTCGTGTGAAGCTGCGAAATTCTCAAATGAGCCGATAATTTTGCAAGGTTCACAGGCCTCACGAGGCGGCCTGTAAGCTTCGCTGGGTATTATTTGTTGCCCCGCCGAGCTAAAAGGCGGTGCAGCAGGTGAAATGAAGTTCACATATGAAATCTAACGCTTAGGCATAATCTAGGAGCCTTCAATTCACATCACAAGTAAAACTGGCGTTATAAAACTGCACGACTCTTCTGATGACTCAAATGTGCTATGTGAACTTCGAACAGTGACGGTGCGTTGCTGAAAATAATCTTTTACGAACGGGAATAGATACTTTTCATGGACAGGCTATCAAACCTTTATCGTTATTCTCCTGACGATGCGCTTGAATTGAACAATCAGTCTCCTGAGGAGCAGCTCACCAATATGAGGAAACTTCGAGTTGATTACTGCCACAAAAGCGGCGTAAACATGGGAGAACACGGGTGAAAAAGCTTGAGCTTGCATTATCGATCGAACTAGCAGACCTCTAAAATTGAACCAACGGATTGAAAAAAATCCCTCAATACAACAAAAAAGTGACATACTTCCCACGAATGACGTTTTCTTGTAGTAGGCCTCTCACTACTTGAACAAGATTTCCTGTGTTCACTTTGTTGACAAGACCATGAATCTTCTTCTTTAATCTTTCCCAGTTCATCCGTTGATATTGTTCACTGCTCTGAAAAAAAGCAAATAAGTACTCATCCATTTATAAGCTAAAAATCCATAGAATGGACGATACCTTATCCTTAATCTGATCCTGCATCATTCGCAGTTTAGCTGGAGGAATATAGGCACCACCAGTCCTTGTCCTCAACAGGTCCAGCGGCTCTTTTTTAGGTTTTTCCGGTTCTGCAGCTTTCTCTTCTTCTACAGCCTTTTCATCGTTTTTCTCACGACGCGCACGTTTATCCCGCGCTGATTCTTCATCACTTTCTCTCCTGGAAAAAAACAAATAAAAAATTAAGGGTGAAGTTAATAGAAAAGCTGCGTTCATACATTCGGGTTAGCGTGCGCCGTTGAACGCAGCGAACAGCAGCGTTTAGAGCGTATGCCGCCAGCGCCTAGGAAGGTATAGATAAATCAAGCGTACGCCAGCGTTCTTCGGGGACAAATTGAGTTCGAGCGAAATTGCTAGCGAAAGTGCTGCTGTTCGCTGGCATAAGCTGGCAGACGCTGACGTACGCTGAATGATATTTATAATTTTCCAGTCGCTGGCGTACGCTCGAAAAGCTGCCGTACGCCGGCGTGCGTTCACGCACGCAAAGTATGAACGCAGCCTAACAGGGAAAAGCAATTGTACCTATTTCGGCTCCGTGAGCGCCTTTTGCGATCCCGCTCTTGTCTGTCATCCCTATCATCTCGTCGAGATCTTCTCGATTTGTCATCGCTGCTCCTCTCCCTTCTCCTCCTATCACGGCTGCGTGTGCGGCTGCGTGTGCGGCTCCGTGACTGAATTTGAGAGCAATCAACTAACAGTCCTGTTTCCTCTACGCTATGTAACTGTTGTCACAAGCCGAGAAGGTGAAAATCAAGCAAATGGTCTGGCCTACGTATGAATCGCTTACATCTGAGCATAACAAGTGCTGCGGGATCAATATTTTTAGATATTTTAACATTATTAGAAGAAGGAGAGAGGACGAGAAGAACAAACAGTAAAAGATGAATTATTAACAGTGGATAAAAAAGAAAACGGGGCAGTAGAGAGAGTAGAAAAAAAGGGAACAAAGGCGCAACTCGACAGAACGACAGGTACTAACAAAATGTGAGGCTGTGTATGCTTTGCGTCAGCGCCAGCGACTAAGAAAGCATATGTGTCAATCTAGCGTACACAGCGTCCATCAGGAGTGGAGAGTATGGGGAATTAGGAGGGTAGCACAACACCGTCATCAGATTGCGCAATCCTGTGCCTTAGCAGTTGTGCTTAGCGGTTGCACAGGTTGCAATTTCGCGAAACCAAATCCGAAGGCGACTGCTACTCCTACTTCCCTATACTCCCCACTTCTGGTGAACACTGCTAGATCATTGCTTATACTTCCACAGTCGCTGACGCTTGCGTGCGCTCATCCAAAGCATGAACGAAGCGTGAGTGGAGCAGAGTGCCATCAACCAAGGAAAAGTACCCAATCTTAGTACTGAAAAAATAATAGAGGAGAGGAGATTGTTCTTTGAAGTGATTGTAGCCGATGACAAAGGGTGAAGAACTAATCGAGGGATAAACGGATTATATGTAATCGCAAAAAAAACCCCGAAGAAAATAAAATCCTACTAGCTTGTATCTGAAAAAGAACTCACTCTAGCGTAAGACCGTTTTGGTGACCTTGATCGTCCTCTTCTGTCTGTCTTAGGACTGCGACTTCGAGACTGTAATTTAACATAACATCAATGTTTGTTACGAAGTTAACTTTTTATAAGATAAACATGCCGCAAGCCAAAACTACCTTCATACTTTTCTTCGGCGTTCCGAATGCTTCAAGCGTTTTGAACGTTTTGGGCGAAAAGGAATGTACAGGTATCAGTCTACCGCTTTGGAAGAAACGTTTTGAGCTTTGTGAGCGCCGACCGATACCTATACTTTCCTTTTCGCACAAAACGCTCAACACGCTCAGAATGCACAAAACACTGGATCGACAACTACACTATGTTTTTCGGCTTAAACGTTCGGAGCGCCCAGAAAATCACGAATGCAGCCTAATGTCTACAGGAAATTGCAAGTTTCCGTCAATTTCCACAAATCCCGTCCAACAGAACAGCGGTACTACAACTAGCTCTGCTCTTCATACATATGGAAAGCTATCCGCTCAAACAGTAGCCGCTGTTTTCTTTTTGCAGTGAAGAATCGTCTCGTCCTTCTTAAATGATCCGAACAGAAAAAAAACTCTCTCTGTCCCACATTAGTGAGAAAAGATTTGAAAAAAATCATCAGCACTGCCTTTTATTTGCGACTTCCACTTTTGTGCGATGGCAAAGACAAATTCACGACGCACGCTCGATATTATTCGATGGCCTCCACAACAAAAACCGATGCGATGATAACGCCAAAAACGAAGGTGAAGTCTAGAGCGTAAAAAGTTGCTCACTCCCTTGATGAGACAAGCCGGGGATAAAGCTGGCATTCAAGCTAAACACCATAGTTGACTCGGGAGACCCATGAGTTTCATACATTCTCTCTCCCTCGACTATGGTGATGTGGCGAAGCATTTTCTTCCAAGTAATGACTCACCCGTGTTCTGCTTCGCCTTGGTGACTCAGACCTCCTTCTGGCTTTCGATTTTGGAGAAGGGCTGCGTGACTGTAATATGTTACTTATAAACGAACAAAGTAAAAATGAGCATGGGGCTGGGATACCTCAGCCGTAATAGTTGAGCGGTCGCGAAAGTCTTGGAGTTTTCGAACATATTGCAGGGAGTGAAGCTAACTTCGACAGAATCTTTGTTATCGGGCAATTAGGCAAACCAGGAAAGACAATGCTTTGCGAAGCTAAACACTCAGACATAGATGGTTCCTTTTAATACTCTTAACCATCAGACGGTCCCATTGCTTCTTCGTCCGACCAAAAGCTCGGCGTGAGCAACAGATTGAAGGCAAACATTTAGGCGCCTAGAAAGTGGTTGGGGGGGGGGAAGTTCTTGTTAAGGCGGTGATAGACTCAGACGTGAGTGAAAAAACTTACAGAGATGCTTTTAGGATAGAAGCCAAGCGTAAAGCACGAACCCAAAGGCGAAGAAAGGCGTACTTCTGCGAGCTTTCATTTGTTAGTATCGAACGCTATCAACAGTTCCTTCCCATTATCAATCATTTCACCATACGGAATGGAAAGAGTTGGTGGGAACAGCCACACAGCATTGAGTGCCATTAGTAATGACCGCTGGCTGAAGCATGGGGAGTGGGCGGAGCACTGCCTTTGTCGCGATTGGATGGCATCCTTACCACGTGTTTTGAGCCGTGACAGTGGCACACGTGTTTTCTGCTACGGAGACAAAACTCCCTTGTCGAAGGAGGGCGTCTGCACATTAAATAAATGTGGACCGTGCCTTCGTGTATATTCACTGGTGGTGAGATGAAGGTTGGTTCGATAAAATCCAGAGAGGCAGCTAACTCGAGTCCACCAAAGTTTTTGAATAAGGAAAGCTATTTAACTTTCAGCTCAGGCATTGTAAAGTGCAAGCGCAGAATAAATAGCAAGTGCTTCCTGCTGACAGACCATAATGGTGGACTAAAGCCGTCGTCGTTGATCAATCCTTTTTCCCTTTATGATCAATCAATCCCACAATACTACTTCTGACCAGGCAACGGTACAATGAATACGATATTGCCTATACACTGAGTTGTCAACCAAGTCGTTGTTTCATTCCTCCCGAGTGTATCCGGTACCAGTTCCACGTCCCCGAAGGGTAGGAGGCATGATTGGGCTGACCGGATTCGGGGTACCGGGCCGCGCGCGGGATAAGCAAGTCATTTGCTACTACAGCTAATCTGCTTCCATGTGGTTTCTAACAACTTTCGCTTTACATGACTATAAGCACATGAAAAATTAACAAATCCAAAAGATGTTCAGAAGAGAAAATGAAGACTTAGAAATACTAGGACTCACTTTTTCGCGTGTGCTCTTCGTTACCCCGTTGTCTGATTTCGGTGATGGAACATCGCTTTTCTCGGAGGCGCTATGACTTCTAGAACGCGAAGACTTTGGTGAAGGAACGTCTCCATCGCTCGAACCACTACGACTCTTCGATGGCATTTCCTACCACTGGAAAGCACATTTCGAATGGCGATAGAAAAAGAAATGAAAGCAAATCACGGGTAACGATCCTGGTAAGAAAGAAATTTTTGAGGATTAGCTCACTAATGCTGCGTTAAAACTTTTCGTGTGCGTCGAGACTGCTTTGGATGGAAAGTAAGGCACCAGCTAGTTTGCTGCGACCTAGAAGCAGCTTGTGTTCAAGAGGCATGGTTTGAGCGCGGCTTCAGCATCGTTATCTTTCTAGTTTTTCTTTCGGTAAGCGGGGGAATCTTTTTAAAAAGAAGAACACAGCATATGGTTCGCATCATTTTTCACCAACAGTTGTCGCTTGCTCCAGCCTAGAAGAAAATGGGCTGGTAGTGCGCAAACCCAGCCCCACTGACCACACCTTCATCCGCAGCGAACGAGATGTATAGGCATTTCGTGAGTAAGATGTTTCGACAAGCATTTTTTTGCTCAAAATGCTCAAAACGTTAAAATCAGTTACTTATACCTCCTTCTCGTCTCCGTAACTGCTCGAAGCGCCGATGTAAAAGCTTGAAACATCTAACACAGAACCACAGCTTACTCTAGTGCATGTGACATACAGGCTGAGAGCCGGTTTTTTTTTTTTAACCCTTTTTAGTAGGTACTCGCGTGGGCGTGGCCACGGGCAAGGACCTTCGGAAATGGATCCGGTGTTTCCCAATTTGTGCTCGCAATAGAATATTAGACCGGGACGACCGTTTACTAAGGTAAAAGCGTTCCTATTGTCCTTCAAGCGCGTGTTAATGTTGATTTCACTGGAATCATCCGTATAGACCTGATACGCCACTTTTTTCGCCCTCGCCTAAATATAGCATATACCTTTGCAAACCCAGCATAAATTCCAATCTAAGTTAATTCTTCCTCTCGGAACTTCTTAGTTCAAGCAGTAGAAACACACAGCTGTTTAATAAGAAGGAAATTATCGTCTCCAAGCTCAGGAAGAAGCGCTGAAGCCTAATTATATCCGTCCACGTCAAGCCCTCGCCCTATTTGCCTGGCGCGCGTAACTCTCAGGTACACCACGACCATACAGACTCCTCATCAGTTGTCAATCACGAAGCGTTGAAACTGAATACTGATCACAATTGCCTTTTGTTACACTAGAGCGGCGTTCCAAGTTCGATATTGAAAAACATGTTTACGGATTACCTTTTGATAAGCCTATTTATAGATAAGGGATGTGACAGTATTGAAAATGAACTTTTAAGCTGTAATTTGTTCTGCCAAAGAGGCTGGTAGGTGGGAGACTTCGCTGAAAATGGCCTGACGTTTCTACAGAATCGTCCTCCTCAGCGAGTGACAAAGTATCGTTTCCCATCATGTGTGTGGTAGGCTGGGGTAGGTGGATCTGGCCTCCAAGGACGACGATCCTGTCGAAACGGTCAGGCATTTGTCCTTCACCTACCAACCTCTTTGGCAGAAGAAATTACAACTTAAAAGTTCACAATAATGCGGAGGTTTTATGAAGAGAAAGCTGGACAGTGCTGATAATACACATGAGTACCGCACTAACAAAATCGAAAATATAAAGACTAAACCGTTCCGCTAGATTCAGTATTTTTAGTTTTCTTTTTCCGCAGCTTTTGCAAGAGAAATCACATCAGCTTCCAAACTGACCTTTAGAGGTACTGCTCAATGTCTGCAAACCCTGACAGAACTGTGAATAAAAGCAGTATATAAAAGAATGACCTGATAGTGAAAAAAACTTGGCGAATAATTTGACGATCGTATCGATTTTCGTTCAACCTCACCTCAACCGCACTGTATGTGTTGAAGAATTCACGCTAAGTTTCAGTCGAATAAAAACCTCAAAAAACCTTGTACAACCGATCTGTTTTGCAGTTACTTAGAAAGCGCTTCCCTTTACCTAAAAACGCAATGCCAGGAATTTTCCTTTCTCATAAACTACTCCTTATGCTGAAGTACCAAAATGGAAATCTTTTTTATGGAATCCGCAGAACTACTCAATACCTGGCAGAGTCCCACCTGTTTCCACACTTTTCTTATGTCTTTGTCACTTTCTAATGCAAGCGCGATGAGAGTGCTAGACGTTCGACCCTTCCCAGCCCGGGCATTGCATATTTTCGGAGAAATGTAAATAAATACCAGGTATCAGTTCTTTTTGGATAATAAAAACAGGAGGATGGAATGGGTGAGAGCCCGGATACATTGTATTCAATCTTGCTACTGTGTAGGAACAGAGACGCTATTTTCCCGTTGATAACTGATTTATAACTGCAGTTATAATCCTCCACTGTTCAAACACCCATCCAGACAAAGAAACAAAGAACAGTAAAAAGAAATATATTTATTACCACTAGCTGCAAATAACTTGTACGTAGTGATTGAATGCCCCCCCCACCCCCCAAAAAAATAATTAAGATGCTATGAGAAGTAAGTCAGGTGGAAAGGAATAAACCACAGAATGGCCACGCCAAAGATGAATTTACGAAGACGAACATAACCAGAATCGGGCGAGATCCTTGGTCGTTCCGATTATGTGTACTGTCCGTGCATACGTACACATACGTCACCACGCGTAATCCACGAGACGAAAGTTTTGTTAGTGAACGATTATTTCTCTTCGCATGCTTTTGCTGTGGAAGGAAAGTGTTGTGATCAGGAAATGAGTTGATCAGTCCAATGCCTAGATCGTTAGGGCTTAGCTTAGAACGAATATCGAGCGGTTTGGCTGAGAGTAAATTTTCTCGTGTGTTCGCGACGTCGCGCGCGATTTTCGTCAATATGCAAGTGCCTGCAAGTTATAGAGGTTGCGGAACCAGTGGCCGGCGTTTTCCAAATCATTCTTTCCCAGATTTCTCTTCAGATTATATGATGATTATATTTTACTGGAGATATGTTCTTCTCCTAATTTCTTTCCTAAATATTCTGCTTTTTACTGCTTATTTTTTGTTAGCCGTACCTGTATAATTTCATTTTTATTTCGTTCTACTAGTTATCCAGTTTTATCTGCATTCTGAACAAGTTTTCCTTGCCGTGGCATCAGACATTATTGGAACTACGTAAAATTTCAAATCCGTGCCATCGCGAGTGCTCTTCTAGTATATAAGTAATTTTACCTGTCATTAAGGATGAGCTCCATCGGCACGGGTTATGATCTAGCCGCCTCCACGTTTTCACCCGATGGACGCATATTTCAAAGTCAGTTTTTGACCTTTTCCCTTTCGATTGTACAGAGTGATTTCACCGCCCGGTTTCAGTTGAGTATGCACAGAAGGCAGTGGATAACAGCGGCACCATGATCGCACTACGAGGCAAAAATGGTGTGGTCACCGCTGTTGATAAAGTGATAACGTCGAAGATGTATGAAGAGGTGAGTGCTTTGGAGTTTCCTCTTCTGAATTATACGAGGTTTGCATCAAAAAGAAGTTCAAGACGAACCTGTATCCCATATCGCGGTGCCATATCGCGGTGATGGGGAAGCCATGGCATGATGGGGGAGGCATGACAAAGTACCTCATTTGAACAGGCTGTGGCCGCGTTTTTAGGAGATTTTTCATTTTGCGATAAATGAAAAAGTGCCTTTGCTCAGCCCAAGACAGGATAGCGGTCGCCTCAAAGGAGAAATCCCAATGAAAGGGAGAAACGCACCTTATGCCGTATCCAAGCGAATACGCCCTGTCCACCTTCTGTCTCGATAAGGGTGTTTCGCATCAATTCGCTTCCGGTGCATGTTCACTCAGGCATTAATGAGGTCATCATATTAGGTGCATTGTAAAAAAAATGCTCTTGAATTGGCGTTACGTGACAGTAAGCAGGCAGCTATGCCTCGCTGATACTCTGTGAATCCGAAGGAGCTGGGAATTCGGAGTATGTGCGCAAAAGAAAGTGGAGTCTTGCAAATGAGTCACTCTGGGAAATCCGCGATGTTTGGAAAGTGCTCGTCAACGGATACCTACTGACTACACCAACTGGTGAACTGGGAGAGTCCAGGAGTGGGCAAACTGAAATATTCTCTCGAGTGGTGGATTCTCCACATACTGCTCAAGATTGGATCCCAGATACTCGTAGTTATCTATGCGTGAATTCCTCCAATTTCCTCCTTCTCGTTCGCTGTTCTTCTCATTCGCAATGTGTGAACGCAGCCTTTCTTTTTCAGTACCCATGATGATCATTTTTCTTGGTAAAGAGGGCGGGTTCCGGATCACGAAGCAATGAGCTGCTGAAATTTGATAACGGTTTTGTGGCATAAATGTGTCCATATTATGTCAGTATGGTCCCTATATATTTATTTGGTTTGATACTCGTCTTTGTACACAGTCTATACCCTGTCTTTGTGCTAACTGTGCAGGCTTCTCTAGGTCCCCATGGAACTTTAAATACCCCTTATTCAGGGGGACAGGCTTATCTGAATTTCACTTTTGCCTCTTTGTTTATTGTGTTCTCTTACCAGGGGTGAATATTTGTATAGCGAAGTGCAACAGTGATTAGATTCGCGTCTTGTTTGTTGAAATAAATGTGTTGCAGAACGCAAACCCTCGTATGTTCAGCGCTAACGAAGATATAGGAATCGCCTTGGCAGGAGTTTATCCCGATTGCAGAGCTCTGAAAGATTACGCATGCAATGAGGTGAGTCTCGAAGTTTCTTCATGAGGTGCACTCTTCTAAGGAACTTGTTCAGGCTGTTAAATACCTCAAAGACTATCGACAACCAATGCCAATTCAGAAGCTCGCCAACGCTGTACGTTTATAAACGTGCCATCTTTTTTACAACAAACTTTTTTGTGACCTTTTGAATATTTAATTAACGGATTCTCAAAAGTCTAAAGCTTCCAGCTAGCTGAGTACGTCCATGTTTTCACGCTCGGAATCAGTCGACCATTTGGAGCAGCTGCGTTTTTCACATCATGGAATCAGAAGGTTCGTCCGGCTTATTCAATGCCTTTCAGCCATTTCAAGTTCCTCTAGTTTCTCTCATTTTGTTTACTAGCGGTCGGCAGCGTAACGGCTAGAATATGTGAAGCTCCGTTCATAATTTTAGAAGATTCGGCCATTTGGGAGATTGTGATTGAAGAGATTGCGCGACAGGAATACGGTGTTCTGGGAGCTCGCCGAATCTCGCAAAATCGCCGGATCGCTCAATCCCCGCACTCGGAGATCGATACCTACACTTTTCTCGTTGCGCATCCTCTCAAAGCACCGAGTTTTCCAGATCGACGAATTTTCTGTGTCGCTGAACTTCCTCAGTCACGAAATATGAACGCGGCTTATATTGAGCCTACATGCGATTGACTTTGGCATGTCCCGGGTGTTCAGATCACCTTGGTTTCGATTCCATTGTGTTTTACCCACATAGTAGTTCTCGGTTACCACAGTAGTCATCCCGTTGTGATGGCCTTCCGATTCGAAGTGCCTCTTCTCAACGTACAGTCTTGATCGTTGCGGATGGTGCGGCGTGTCGAGGGGTGGGTTTGGCACAGCGCCCGCCGGTTCTTTCATTCTGTAGGCAAGTGACAAGGCTGCATTATGTCGCTCCTATCAGTCGTTTTTCATTTGTTGTCGCTTACCTGCTTTAACAACGGGTGTCGAATAGGCTAGTGGTCCACCAACTCAGCCTCAGTGACACGCCCCATCATGGTGAAAAGACTAAATTCTACCGTATCAGAAAGATCACGATTTTCAAGAGGAACCTGTTCATTAATGTGAGGAGGAATTATGCAGTTGATTTCAGATAACGTTCTCGTTTAGGATGGTGGAAAATTGTTCTTAGTGGAACCCTCTGGACTTTGCTATGAGTACAAGGCGTGGGCTGTAGGAAAACACAGACAGGCCGCTAAGGTTTTTTTTCATTCCTCCATGCTTCTGCGTTTTGTTCTGTCATCCCGATCATATTTTCCTAATGTTTTGGGCTGAAATCGAAAAACTGAAGTTGGAAGAGTACGATATGAAGGACTTAGTGAAAGAAGCTGCACGGATCATCATGGCTATCCGCGATGAGAACAAGGTACATACGGCGTGGTCGGATACTCTATAGTAACTGATTACTCACATGTTCTACACATGTATTCTAGGCTACACGATATTGCTGTTTAGGGCATGTGTTACAATTAGGGAAAATTTTGCAGAGCAGGGCTATCCTTCGCAATTTCCTCATCTGGTAGACGCTCCCCCTCCCGCATCCCAAGCCCACTGCAATCTCCCCAAGTTCTCCCGAATCCTTACCCTATTTCCGGTGGAATTCTTCGGTAGGGAAGGGGGGGGGTGATTGCGTGTAGAAAAAAACGAGAAAAGTCAACAAAGGAAAACGTTTTTTAACGAGGGCAAATTGATATCACTCTTCCGCATCCCGCAGCCTACCTTTGATTTTTCCGGATTCTCCGAAATCCCTATCACGTTTTCGGAGAAGTTCTGTAGTTGGTGGGGAGGGAGGGTGAGGGGGAGGTATAAAGAAAAGTCAAGAACTGAAAACGACTTCCAGAAAGGTAAATACCACCCATCCTTTCAGCGACTAAAATGCGATCGCGCTCGCCGGGGATTTCCTACTCACGACGTGTCCTGTTTGGCTGCGTCCATACTTTGCGTCAGCGTTCATCAGAGTTTCGAGCGTACGCAAGCTCATATCGATCTAGCGAGCGCCAGCGTCTACCAGCGTCCACCAACGTCCAGCAGCGTCTCGGAAGGACTAGGGAAGTATAGGTATCATCTAGCGGAAGCCAGCGTACAGCAGCGGACAACTGGATCTGGTGCGGCTTGTGTAACCGCCTCTTGCTACAACTGTACTTGATCCAGTAGTTAATTCTATGCTTTAGCAGTTGTACGGTGGCCGCTATTTCACGACGCTTAATCCAGCTGTCTGCAATTCTCCTACTTCCTGATATTCTCCACTCCTGGACGCTGCTCTGCGCTAGTGGGCGATAGCGTTTGCTGATGATACTTATACTTCCCTAGTCCCTCAAGACGCTGGTGGACGCTGGTAAACGCTGGCGGGCGACGGTACTCTGGCGTTCGCTAGATCGATATCTATACCTTTCTAGTCGCTGGCGCTGGTGTACGCTCGAACGCTGGTGGTTGTTGGTGGACGCTGACGCTGAGTATGAACACAGCTTTTTTTGCCCCACACTGTTTTCATGCTGTGTTTGTATTCACACTGGTTAACTGCCATGTAGATAAGTGTCGCTTTCAGGATAAGGACGTCCAAATAGAGTTAGGATGGGTGGGAGAACACACCGAGGGCAAACATCAGGTGAGTGCAACTGAAGTATTTTTCAAGGGTGTCTTACTCTCATTTCCATGTGGTTCAGACGGTACCGAACGATGTTGTAAGTGCGGCTGAGGAATGGGCTCATGCGAAACTTGATGAGGATGATATGGATGAATAGACGTGTCGTTAATTTATGTGGTATCTCCGTCGCACTTCTGTTTATATGACGGCGACAAATACGATGTCTCCTTTGTTTGATTTGCAAATTTTTGTTAATATAATAATTATGGATGATTGATGATAAACTTTAAGAGAAAACCATTGTTTTAATCAACACCTATATTACAAATAACTATGTACATCAGCGAAATTCGTGTATGGTCAGTACAAGCACCGTACAGGTAGTAGTTTGGCAGTAAGAGGAATGCAAAGTCAGTGAGTCATGTAGAAAGTAATTAAAACATAAGAACTCTGGTTCACATGTGGCAAAGCACTAGCATCGAACGCCTAGAGACCCGACTATTTGCAAGGCGCACACTGTAGTAGAGTGTCCCCAACGCTGTGGATAAATGAGCGTTAAGGACGGAGAGAATAACCGTTTTGATCAGACAGATTATTAAGGTTGAGAACAATCGAAACATCGGTTCACATAGCTTCTTCCTTCGAT